TCATCTGTAGGTAAATCAAATCCATCTTTGCTGTACAAATTTTGACGGAGGATAACTACCCTTTTTCAAAGGTCAGGTTTTCAGAGCTTATATATATCACGATTGTGGCCAGAGCATTTCACATTCTCACATTATGGAAGGAACATCTCGAACTTTTCCTTACACCATAAAATTCGTTGGTCTACTTGGTAGTCATTCTATTGGTAGAAATCCAAAGTTCATGGCTACAGCGGTAGATTTAGGAAGGGAATTGGTAAGGCGAAAAATTAGACTTACCTATGGAGGAGGCAACGTTGGCCTTCAAGGAGCTGTTGCTTCAACAATCTATACCAATGGTGGTATAGTTAGAGGCTTCATACTAGGGTACATAGCAGCACGACAGGTCTACGGACCTACGTATGGTGCAGAATACACAGTTTCAAGGAGTTACTATAAGCATTTCGAGATGAATCATGTAGTGAATGCCTTCATCGTACTTCCTGGAGGAGTTGACCCTATGGAAGGTTTGTTCACTTTGATCTCATGGGCATCTGAAGGGTTGCACAGTAAACCCATTGGTCTCTTGAATATTGACGGTTATTTGAATAACCTAATCAAATTTCTAGATGACGCAGTGAGGCAGAACTTCATGGCTTTTAGTCAGAGAAAACTTTTCATCTCTTCTTTCTTTATTGATGAGCTTTTAGACAAGCTAGCGTTTGCTAAAGCTTTTCCGAGTCCTGGGGCTAGTTATGACGAATTTGTAAATCCTGGGGCATTGGACTTAGACTTGCATTTGTAATATTACTTTATGTAATTTCAGTTGAATTTATGTTGGAATAATATTGTCCATGATCATTATGAGTTAACCATAAATATTATTCTAAGCTGCATGGCCAGTGCAAGTCAGAAAAATATCTATTTTCAACATCAGAATGCATCATGTAAATATCAAACATTTTCTCAAGATGGGTCAAATGAAAGATTTCATTATACAATGGTTTCAACACACGTAGGTTCAAGAAAAAATGAATATTCTTGAGATTCAAATCGAAAGATAATTTCTTGTTTACATAAGGTTTCTACATTATTCAATATATACTCGAGCCATTGTAGCACTTTAGGATCTTCACAGAGTATCATCCTTGGGTTGGACTCTTTGAATTGCTTCGTGTTTTAGAGCGTTGACTTGTTCCTGAGCGAACAGGTTGATTTTGGACAGAAGTAACTGAATATGATTCAGGGTTAGAGGGACATTCTCTTCGGAAATGTCCAGGTTCACCACAAATTAGACATAATCCTTGTGCAAGCCAGCAATCTCCCGGATGGTGTCTTTTACAAACATTACACTTTGGATGTTTCCATACCCTCATTTTGTTCATGGATGACGTCGATTGAATTGTCATTGATTTTCCCTTTTTCGAGTGAATGGCACAATCAATTTCTTGCAGGGGTCTCTTC